TTTGGTGAAACTGGATCAGATTTTATGGAGAAAATATTTCCTGATTTTCCCTCTGACGTCCTCCGGCTCTCAGCTTCAACTCTCTGTGATTTACAGAGTTTCCTGATGGACAGATTGATCAGTAGCCTACCGCTAACTACTCTTAGCTTGGTCAGCAATGCGACTAACCTAACTGACCCTCCATGAAATCTGATGCTAGAGGTTTACCTACGGCCTTTAAAGCGGAGGGCCACTAACCAAGTGAAGAAAGTCTTGTTGCCTTACTTGCTCTGAAAAAACTCCCAACCAGAAATAAAACGCTGACTGGTCCGCTAATTATCCCAATTCGCCACAGATGTGGTGTTTGAGTCCCGCTACTCGCCAGTGTTTCCGTTTGAGTGACCTTGTTAACTGGAGACTTTCAGCTGAATATGTTAATTAACTGGAGACTTTATTTAGCTGAAAGTGGCCAATTAACAGGGTCGCAGACCCAGGAGGCAGGACAGTAGGTACTGAGATGAAACATTTTCCCACTCTACCCTTATAAAGAAAGCAGCAAAAATAAAAATGGTAATAATACTGCTTAACTGTTGAGCCACCCTAAATCACTGCAGGGGAAATTCCTCCATCACAAAATCCCTAGTTTGTCTCAAAACAACAAGCTAACTTTCTGTTTCCAGCCTGGAAAACCTGATTTCTGATTTGTGGAGTTGCTGTAAAACCTGTATTTATACCACAGACTTATGAACCAGCAGTTAAGTCGTGAGCAAGTAATTCCTCTGCGTCAGATTAAAACAGGACGTGGAACAAGGTGTGGATTAATGCCATGTGGAATCAAAGCTCAGCTCCCATGGAAACAAACTGCATGCTTGGTTTGTGGGTTAATTGAAAACATTGGTGATTAGACACATTCATTTGTTTGACACGGTTTCAGTAATGAGGCTGATTTATGGCCAAGATGAAACGGTCACAGTTGTACAGTCAGCAGTGTGAAACAACATCAATCCTGCATTTTACTACATCAGCAAGTTAATGTGGAATAATGATCTCCGTCTACAGCACTTAAATAATGTTGGAGGTTGGAGGAATTCAACAGTGAGGAGTAATGTCTGTGATTCAGGGAGAATTCTACACAAAGATTTAAACTCAATATCTTATCAATAAATGTGAGAATTTCTCATTTTGGGGATTGGAAAGAAATCTGGGAAAGAAGGGAAGAGAAGTAAGAAAAGTAGGAAGGAAAAATAAATAAAAGGGACAAAGAAGACAGAAAGAAGTGAAGGCGGAAGAAGGCGACAGAAAAATTAGGGAAATAAAGAATGACACAGGAAGAAAGTAAAATGTGGGAAGGTTAAAATGAAGAACTGCCTGCCATTAAGAATCCAGATTTAATGTATTCAGGCTCATATTTGCTCTCCACACACATGGGAGCTCTTACTGGGGCCGGTTGTCTCCCACATCACTTTTTCATTTTAAGAAAGTGATCCATTTTGTCACTACATCCGAGGGAGGATTAGCTCAGTGGTTCCAAGACTTTTCCATGCCAAAAATTATTTGAATCTAACCATTAGATCTACTAGCAGTACCACTAGATGGCGCTCTGATGCGTTCTTTGACTGAAAGGAAGTAAAAAGAGGAAATACTAAAATAAAAAACCAAAACCTTTAAAGTAATCGTGTTTTAGTCTCTTCTTTCATCTGAGGATCTGAGGTTTGAGCCTGAATCGAAGAACCACTCACAGTCTCTCAGGGTCTATAAAACACTTTTTTATTTACGGGGCAGTTATGGGCCTCTTTCATAATTCACAGAGGTTATGGCGGCCATTTTCTGAAGCTCAACAAGCCTGGATGATGGGATTTTCCAATTTGGATTCAATGAAATGGTGATAGAGGCATCAGCCGGTAGATTTATCTGGCTGTACACAAACTGAAGAGGCATCTGATATCTGCTCTCATACACACTCCAGTCGGGGTCAAAGGTCGACACTGTGAGCAGTTAGTTCTGCACACTAAATCCACAGGAATCAAACTGTTCTCAGAATATAATCATTTACTCTCAGTAACAGGATAACAGCTTCATTGAGCTGCAGTGCAAACATGTCAAACCTCTCTATAGGTTAGGTTTATGTGAAAAAATATGAGAAAAATACAGGCCGGATGCATGAGGGAGGCAACTCCAACCTCCAACCGCCCAAAAAGCTCGACGAAAATGATGGCAAAAAGAGAAAAATGAGAAATTAATCGGAACCACCACAAAAAAAAAGGCTAAAATTGAAAAGAAAGGTGCATAAAAAGCCCAAATCAAGCTTTTGTGTATCAGTGAATGCCTCAGTTTTCAGCCTGTTCAGCGTGTAACACTCATCCAAGTACTCATGATCACATTACTCGGTGTAGAAAATGTCCCTGCTTACCAAAAACCTGATTTTCCTTCATGAATATTCTTTAATCCAACACTCCTCATTGGCTGAACAATACGCTGGCGTCAGAGCTTCACACAGTGCTTCCTGCCGGCCGCCACAAAGCCGCACGTGGTGCTTTAGAAACCTCCACCCGGTCGCTCATGCACGTCAGCAAACAGTGTGATGACTGAGGGCTTAACAGACTGTGGGTGTGAAGACACACCGCCATGTTGGAGGTCAGATACCAGCACTATAAACCTGGTGATTTGTATTTTTCTCAAGTCAACTAAGAGCAAAAAGGGGGCGGGACTTATGAAGGGTCAATTAGCATAGTGGAGAACGTTTGCTATATTACAGTGTCAATCTGTGATTGAGGAGGATAAGATTAACACAACAGCTTCTCTCAGACAACCTGCACACAGAACCAGCCTTCACAGGTGATATAACGCGTTTCATTAGACTTACCGGTGCACCTGCCCAGATGTTTAACGTCGATCTGCTCCTGCTTCATACATGACGCCTCTCGGACCAGACAGGGGTTGTTGTAGGAGTTCCCGTCGGTGGCACACACCGGGTTTTCATTGTGACCGCTGCAGTCGATGTTACAGATGCACCTGAGGAGAGGAGTCATGTGTCAGGACTGTTTCTTCTGTCTGCAGCCTGAACATGTTTCTGCCACAGCAGCTCTCATCAGCACTAAATCATTAGCTGAAGCACATTCAGACACTTCTAAATGAAGACACAGCTCATTAATTTAGCACAGGCTCAGTGTCTGCACATAAAGAGATAAGTTTAATATATTTTGAAGACCTTTTTCAGACATGCAGGAGATACAATTCAGGGCAAGATTTTCAATT